AGGTTAATCACACTCCTCATTACCCCACACTTCATCACTACAAATGCACAAATTCATAGATTTTCCCCTTTAGCCTCATCCCCCGTTCCCATATGTCCACCCTCAAAATGTTTCCCTGTATATGCCTTTTATTGTGGTAAAATGTACCTAACTAAAAATGACCATTTTAGCTATTTGCAAATGCACAGTTTTGTGGCATGAAGCAGATTCACATTATTGCATGACCATCACCACCATCCGTCTCCAGAACCCTCTCTCCATCTTCCCCATCTGATACTCTGTACCCATAACACACGAGTCCCCTATTCTTCCTTCTCCCTAGCCCCTGGCAACCACCATCCTTTCTATCTCTATGACTTTGCCTATTTCAGGTACCTTGTATAAATGGAATCAGACAGAGTTTGTCCTTTGGTGATTCGCTTATTTCACTTAGCACAATGTTTTCAAGATTCATCCACACAGTAGCATCGGACAGGATTTCCTTCCTTGCTCAGGCTGAATGATATTCTATTGCATGTAGATGCCACGTTTTGTTTATCCCTTCTTCCATTAGTAGATACTAGAATTGCCTCCACCTTTTGGCTATCACGAATGGCGCTGCTATAAATGTGGGTGTACAAATACCTGAGTCCCTGATTTTGCTCCCTTTGAGTATAAACCCAGAAGTGAAAGTGCTTGATCAAGGGGTATTTCTTTGTTTAATTTTTTTTTTTTAAAGGAACCACCATACCATTTACCACAGTGGCTGCATCATTCTGCATTCCCATCAGCCATGCACAAGGGCTACAATGTCTCATCTTCTCAGACACTTGTTATTTTGTGTATGTGTGTGTGTGTTTTAAAATAACACCCATACTAATCAGTGTGAAGCGTTTCAATGTATATCGACTTGTTTAAGACACCTTTGACAATGCACACAGTTGTTTTGTGCATGTGTAATCTTTTACGTAAGTAGCATTACTTACTTACCTAACACATTACTCTGTGTTACTATTTTCACTTGGAACTGTTTTTAAGATTCCTCTGTTTGCTTTGTGTATGCAGAACTTACTGCTTCTAACTTCTGCATAGTAGGCTGTGGTAAGCATCAACCATATCCATGTATATTGGGAACATACTATGTGCTTGTGGCAAGCTCTCCACATGGGTTATTTGATTCCTTCCAGCAGCCCTAAGCGGCGGATGTGATTATTATTTCCATTATATGGAAGAGGAAACTGACATACCGATAGTTAAGGGACTTGCCCACAATCACAGAGCTGGAAGTGGGAGAGCTAGAAGTTTACCCCAGCTCTGTCTGGAGCCATGGGAGAGCTCACAGGTATAAGGTGCCGCCCACCGCTACAGACAGAGTCGCTCTCTCTCAGGTGAGGGCACTCGGAGGAGAGTTCTAGGCCTGCCTAGATCCTGACTTCTGTCCAGACTGCCAATCACCTCCCTTCACCACATGTCGCGTGATGTCTGTGTGAAGTGAAGGCAGAACAATGTCAAAGCTCTTTCCAGATGTACCACTTGTGGATTAAACACCCTTTAGCTAATGGAAAAACAATCAGAATTGAAGTCATGTGTTTGTCTCTTTCCAGGGTTCCACCTGGGAGCCTCTCCAAATAGATGAAAACCCTTTGGCAAGTCCATTGTGAGGCCATTCCTGATAGGACTGGCTATTCCCAGGGAAACAGAGTCGCTGCCTCCGGCCCCATCCCACCTCTCTTGAACTTTGCACTTACGGTGATGAAAAATTAACTGGGCTAATGTTTCCCTTCCAAGGACAACCTCTGCAAAAGCTGGCCTGGCTGGGCCCCAGGAGACCAGGCGCCAGAACAGAGCTCCTATCCATCCGGAGCCGCCCACCCATTCACCGCCCAAAGTCAAAGGAGCATGCAGGGTCCTCTTAAGCGGTGGGAAGCATCTATCACTCAGCTCTCCTCACTGCTCGGTTGAAACTGGGCTTGGCCCCTCAGTTCTTCTTGTGGAGAGACTAAGCCCAGAGGAGAGAGGACTAGCCCCAGAAACGGCACTTGCTGGACTCACATGTGGGTCCCAGCACTGTTTTTCTGCACGCACAGCTGTCCCTGTCACACGGATGATGGCATGCGAAGGAAGGGCACGAAAGCATGGGTCAGCCACACTAGCTGCTGACTAGTCATTTCCTCCCCTTCGGGAAAATGGGAGGGCTGAAAGAGGGGTTTTTCCCATGCCGTGATGTTACAGGGCTAGGTACCCCCCAGGCCCTTCCACTTCATTTACTTCTCAGATCTCTGGCTCCTTGCTTCCGTGGTGCCCGTCGCCTCCCTCCACCAGACTGTGGCTTCTGCTTGCGCAGAACAAGAGGCTTGCGTTGCAGGAGAGCTCTTTCTAGACTCACTGTGTTTGCACAGTAACAGCTGTTTGCTCCATTCTTACAGCTGAGAGATGCTCAGCGAAGTGAAGGGAGGGAGGGAGCCAGGGTAAAAAGTCAGATCAAGTCACGGACGGACCTGGAGGTCCTCTATCTGCCCCTCCACAGTCCCAGCTGCATGAGTTGATGTTCAGGTTAAGATTAATGTTCTCCGAGGAGACGGTGACTGCAGGGGCCCTTTCTCCCAGGCACACACTTCCTTGCCTTGCTGCGTCTCTAGGCTGAGGATAGGGGCCTGTGGCTTCCTTTTCCGTCTGCCCAGAAATGAAGAGGAGGGCTGTAACACGGAGGAGCTGTTCTCGCTTAACCCGCACACCACCCTTCATGGCACCAGCAGGGCCCCAAGATGTGGGTTCCATCCCTTCACAGCACTTGACTGCTTGCAAAGCTTTTCATACTAGATTCCCGTGGCTACCGCACGAGGTCCAGAGGAAAGCTGGTCGGAGCCCTGTTGAATACTCGAGCAAACATTCCTTGTCCTGCCACAACGGTGCACCTAGGTAAAGAACTTTTGTTTTGCAAAGAGCTCTATCAGGGATGTCATCTTTGTCTTCCAGGACCCTGCAAGGCAGTTAGCTGAACGCAAAGGCAAGAATGTGGACTTTGGCCTCACAGAGCCTGGGGTTCAAATTCCAGCGGGGCCGCCTGGAATCCTGAGTCAGTATTGTAAACGTCTCTGTGCCGCAGGTGCCGCATCCGGACGGGGGAGGCACGGAACAGCCACCTGGAAGGCCATTACGAGGATTAAATAAGAGGGCACCATTTGCGTTACCTGGCCTGAAGAAAGCCATCGATAAAGGCTGATTGCTCTTTCCTTTGCTTTTTTGATGAGGGCTGGGGAAAAGGGAGTGCAACCGGATACTACAGTGGCTGCGGGTTACTCGAGGAGGACTAGGGGGAAAGCCCCAACCGGGGTTCAGGGGTTCTCAGCGGCGAGTGGCAGGGGAGTTAGGAGGCGAGTGTGAAGAGCACAGCCCTTTGCAGCAGCAGCTGACAGGCCTGTGGGGGGCCATTCTCTTCAACGGCAGGGACCCCTGCAGCTTCTGGGCCGATTTTGTGGATTGGGCCACACCTCACAGGGCTTTGTAACTCCCCACCCGCTAGCGGATAACGTCTTTCCCACCAGGGGGGTTTCCTGCTGTTAAAAACAAACAAAGACCTTAGACGTCGGGCTAGGGGCCTGGCAGGGGAGGGGCAGCAGGATAAACACCCCGAGGGTCGAGGTGACTCCAGAAAGCAGCTGCCGGTGGTGGGGGCGGGTGTGGCGCTTGGAAGCCCCCGAATTCGGCCGGTGGCGAGAAAAGCCCCGGGCTCCCCCCAGTATCCTGGTGTTTCTTTGCTTAACATAAACCTCCCGAGTACTCCCCCTTTTTGCGAGTTCACAGCTTTGGAAACAAAGCTCTGTCCCAGTTAGTTTTGGGGGCGTCGAATTTCGGATTTTTTTTTTTTTTTTTTT